GTTAGTAATTTTCTTCTGCTGCTTCTTTTATTGCTACAGTCTTAATGTTGCTTGAACACACACTTCTAATGCATTAATTGCTAAGAAGATCTCTGTAAGGGACTCTAGTTACTACTGTATCTTTTGAGTAAATCATCAGGGGGAATGCTCTGGCACATTATCTGCAGCTGTGCTCTTCAGCAACTGTTCTTGGTATGGAAAAAATCCCCAGCATATCTCAGAAAAATTGCTTTGCATTTCAAGCTAGGAAATCTCTCTACATTCCATCTGACTTATGGATTGTGAAAAGCTACTGTAGTGAAAAACAAATCGGTGGATACATATCACATCGAAGCTTTATACGATATATCACTCAGCATGGAGCCTGGTTTGATTTACTTTGCACCCAAGCAAAAGAAACTGAAACAAAAATAGTGCTTATCCACTCCTTGTATTTATTCCCTGCAATATCCTGCCATCCTTTGGAAGGTAAAGCATGTCATGAAGTCTCTGCAGGTTTGCATTCAATAACTGCTAAAGCCTTGCTGTCGAGGTAGATGGTACATGGCAGCACAGACAGAACTAAATGTCTCATTTCTTAATTCATAACCAATTCAGAGATGTTCCTGTCTTGCAGAAGAGACCAGGGAGCAAAGTGGGAGAATAGCCTCTCCCTATACACTAACTCCTGCTCTGGTTTGAAGACACCAAGGACCTGCTGTGATTCAGTTTGGAGTATAACAAGGACTACAGTACTAGGCAAATGAGTCATTGTCTCTGACACCTGGGAGCTGTCACGGTTCCCATGGTAAAATGGGTAACATGGTAAAATGTTAAGAGAATATTTAAAATTATGCAAATGAATGTTTTCATACAGTATATTTGGCTGAATTCCTGGCCTGCATTATTTTCCTGGGTTGGATACCTCCATTTCCAGCAGATACTCAGTCCTTAAAAAGGGCTTTATTTTATTCTATTTATTGTTCTGCTATCCATTATTCTAAAGAGATGTAATGGATCAGCCCAGATACATTTCATGTTGTGAGGAAAGGGAAGGAAATGGCTTGAAAACCACCTACTGTTCATCACTGAGCTGGTATTTGTGGAGATGCAAACTTACTCCCCAGCATTTTTACCCTGTGATTTGGATTCCACAGGGCAACAATCAGCTTCAAAAATCTCATCATGACACTGTTTTCAAAGTCAAATAAGGAGCGTCAGTGAGAACACACCAGCCCCCAAAAGTGGCTCCCCTCCAGCTTCATAACCCCAATTTATTTCTGACATTGCACCATAAAACTGAAATGATTAATCTATAATAGATTATCTCACAAATCTGCTACAGAAGAACAGAGGATGTGATTTCCTCAGGATTTGGCACATTGGCAATGACATGTCACGGCAAAGGGTTTAATGAATACTGTACCACAGAAAAACAAAATGGGAAGAAGCTTGGACTACTGGAGAGGGAATTCCATGCATTGTGAGGGAACCCACCTTCCAACAGTCACATTGACCACTGACCGCTTGACTTACCAGTAATATTTGAGCTAGTATTTTCCATCAGGTTTCCAGAAAGACTTCCCCAAGCTTAGACATTCAACACAGCCTGCCTTGAGCTTGCATTTCAGAAGTGCTAAGTACCTATAAAACAGAAATAGAGGTGCTTACTCCACCTTTGCGGTTGCACTGTGGGGTCACAGGATGCGTGTTACAGAAGTGCAAAGTGTAGTTATTTGTGAGGAGTGTTGAATGCCTGGGGGAAACACAAGCAGCTGGATGGCTACACACTGTACTTGTGCGACTGAGTGCTTGCCTTCATTTCGGAGAGTAAAAGATGTTTGTGTGGAGCTGGCTGCATAATTTACTGTGAAACATTTACCATGGATAAATTTCAGCCTATGGAATCCAGTTAAAAAGGGCAAGCATATTTTTTCTGGGACATGAATACCTCTTACACCAAACTCAGAAGCCAAAAGTATCAAACCAAAAGCAGAGTAATGTCTAAGTTGACAGGCAGCGTTTTCTGGGGACACTGAAAACATGTTTGCCAGTTAAAAGAAGTTGTTATTGCCCTTTTCTCTCATTTTAAAAATTGCTGAGGAACACTAGAAACTTGAGAAAAAAATTCTCTCTCTCCTATCTGACCTTGGCCAAATACATGAGGGTGGGACACTGCTAATGGAAGGCAAAGGAGCATGGTTGGACTGCTACTGCCTTTCAATGACACCTTCCTGCTGTGAAATCTGCAACTGTCTTTTTTGCAGTATCTCACTATTTACTAAGTAGCCTGTGATAAATATGGTGCTCTAACCTCTATTTCCACTATCTTCAGGGAAATTTACCTGCCAGTCCAGGCTGTCCTTCTTGGCATCAGAAGTTGAACAAAGTTCTCCTTGTAGTAACGGAGTTTATTAGTCTGCAATGCCCCTTCCCTTAACCTCTTGGGACTTCTCTTTTGCTGGTGCTTTTGTCAGTCCTTGGCCTTCTGCATGGGGCCAGTGAAGGTCTCAGTCTCTAGACACTTAAGCCATAACCAAGACTAATACTTCATTTTGTGTGCACTATCAAGCAGTAGTTGTCTTTAAATTGGCGACTCAATGCAAAGGTGCAGGTCAATGGTATCTCTCATGGAAGCACAGGAGGATGGCAGCAGTCTGTAAAACAAAAACCTACAGATGGGCAGCATGTCACGAGGTGTCTGAAATGGCTCTGGGGAAAGGGAACTGCCCCATGAACCAGCACTGTTGATGGACAGCTGTGACAGACACCATTAAGACACCTGTATGCTGATATCTCCACAGCCCATCAAAAGGAGATCTTACTAATTTCATATTAGCTGGGTTTGGGGATGTCATATAAAAACCAGGTAAACCCAAACTCACAAAGACCCTGGTCTCAGTTGGCCTGAGAGCCTGTGTCCTGCTCTACCACTGCCACTTCAGGCTCAGGGGTGCATGGAAGTGGCAGCAACAGTCACCCTCTGCAACCCTGGGCCTGGGAGGACTTCAGCGGTCCTGGCAGGAAGGTGTAAAAGGTAAAGAAAAACAGTCCCTTTTCTAAGCAGTCTGAGATCATCAAGATATTTCCAGAGTCCACCTGAGGTGGAGTTTTTTTGTGAAAGCCAGTAATAATAGGAATAAAGTAGCTGGATGAACCATAATTTACCACCATGCAGATTTCTGAAAGGAAGAACCATAGATGCTGAGATGGCTGCACTTCATACAAAACAAACACTGTAACAGCAATAACAGGATGCAGCTGTAACAAACCTGACAAAGTTTATCAATAAACACTCATCCAATAATTATTAATCCAATTCTGATCTTCAGTTTCTCAAAGTGAGCTGGTTTTCTTTCCTTTAAAAGATTTTTTTAGTCTAAAGCAGTGTTAAAACATTATCCAAAAGCAATACACTGGTTTACTGTGGAACAGCCCATCTGTTATTACAAGAAAATTAGGACAGGAAAAAGAAACCTTACCCCATGAAATCATCCCTATAAGAACCTTTTAGAATCCCCCCCCCCCCAATCCCAACCTGAGTGCCGAAGGAAGTGGACAAGCGTTAACGAGCAGGAGTGCAGCCTTTGCCATATTCCTGCTGTAAAGCAGCAGAATTACACAATGGATGGGCATGAAAGAAGTTACAGATTTGCCACAGAGATCTGCTGCTTAGTGCCTAAAAATTTAGTTGAAGGGGCCTCTCAGTCTGTGTATGGAAATGAGTTAATAGCAGAAGCACTTCTGACCTGCGCAAAGACTTTTAGCATCATCTCAGCTCTTGGGGAAATTAGAACCTTTCCAAGGTAATAATTTTAGATTCTTGCATTTTAGTTATATTTTTTCTGCTTTTTTTTAGTTATATAATTTCTGCTTTGTCAAATGACTGGACAAAACAGTGTTAAAAATTCAACTGCACTAATTACTAGCTGAACAGCATAAAAACCTCTGAATAAATGTCAGTTGAGGAGATAAGCTCTTATCTTAATCTAATGACTCCACAGACTTAATTTGTCAGGCCAGCCTAGTTGATGAAAAACAGGTTTCTATTCTCCAGTGTTAGCAGCCGCATCTTTCCAAATCTTTGAAGTTGGACAGCAATACCACCACTGTCATCCTGCAAAAATCTTGTGGCCAAGCCAATTTCATTCCTATTGTCCTCTTACACTAATTAAAGTTGTTTCACCCCCATTGGTCTGCAATAGGTGAAAATGAAGCCAATTTATTTTTAGATTTGTTACATTCTGGGATAATCGCTTCTCTTTTCCTCCACTCTCTACAATGTGTTAATACTTGCAGTGCTCTCTGGGTATCAGAAGGCCAGGCTTTTTAGCAAGGCTCCACAGACACCACAGTGCTACACCAGGACAATTCCTGCAGTGCAAAGCACACAGTTGTGTGCATTTATTTGTGTAGAGAAGAATTACTTTGAGCTCAGGCAACGAATTTGATCTTAAAGAGATGATTTTAGGTTTTGGAAGCTCTTTCCTAAAGGCGTAGTTGACATATTTAGAGCTAAATGCACCAAATGTTCATATTGTTTGAAGAAAGTGGATTAGCACGTAGAAATAAAGAAACTGGCTGCAGTCAGTGTTTCCAGTCCCCCAGTGTGCTCCTAGCCCTTCTGATGGGAACCTGGAAGGCCTATTATGCACAGTGCCTGCTTTCAAAGGATGCCATTTAGGCATGGTATTCTTTATCTCAATTCCACTACTTAAACAGGGCTATGCTTGGGTTTGAGGAGTTGCCTGGGAGGTAAACACTATTCTGATGACACAAGGTAAAAATTCTGAAGATTACAAGGTAAAAAAAACTTGAGGAAAATAACAGGGTTAAGGTGTGAACTACTGAGGCAAATCAGAGAGGCCAGGGTCAGTCCTGCACACTGTTGACATTATTAACTTTATCGACATTAAATGTATCGAGCATCTTCTAGCATCCCGGCTATCACATCACTGCTTATGGCACTTTTGCTCTCAGTTGAGGGCTGTAATATGTTTTTTTTCCTTTTTATTCCACAGCTACCCAAAGGAGCAGAGTTTGCAGAGTAGTGCCATGTAAAGTGCTTGTGGTTCCAAAAGCAATCCAGAAGGACAGGGCTGCTGGATAAATTAGAGACAGATTTACACAGATATTTGAGCACCTCCGGATGCAGTTCTGTGCCTTCTTCAGATTTTTAAAGCTTCCTTGCTGCCACTGGGAGTTGGGAACACATGGGCTTTTGAAAATCCCAGATCCTGAAACATACTTAAGCACTGCAAGCTTGAGGCCTCATCCTACCAAAGCTTAAATTGTATCCATTGATCTCATCACGGAAGTGATGGTCCACTCCTGAACATGCCAAATTCATTTATGTTAGGGCTATGGCTTGAAATGGCTTTTTTTTTTTTTTGTAAGAATTAATGGATCCTCGTTTCTCCTGCTCTGAGTCAGAGTTTAAATCTCCAGTCCATTCCCAACACAGCTGAAACAGAAAAGGAACACACTGGAGTGAAATTTTCAAAGTGACATTTGAATCCCCCCTCTCTGATGAAATCCCACCTATTGATCCAGTCAAATGACTACAGTCTCCACGGGTCCATTCCTGCAAAGCTTCCTTGACTGGCTTATTACTGCAATTCTTCAGGTGCACTGTGACCATCTTTCAATAGAGGATGGGTGCCAGGTAATCAAGTGGAAAAATGAAAACACCCAGAGATTAAATCCTAGTCCTGGTGAAAGCTATGGCAAAATTCCCATGGAAATCAGTGGCTACACGTATTTTAGGACATTATCTCAAGTCTGAATTACCATTTGAATACTGACTTCCTTGGAGGAAGACAAAGAATTTGCCTGAGCAGCCAAGGATCAGGGTAGGAAAGCTAAAGCCTTGATAGAATTACATCATGGATGTCAAGGACAACAAGTAAAGCTTCTAGAGTTGTATCAGTGATAAAGGGAAGAGCAGAGAAAAGGTGGGCCCTCTCCAGAAGGAAACAGCAGATGTGGTTACCTGGAACATGGAGAAGACTGAGGTACTCAATGATTTTTTTTGCCTCAGCCTTCACCAGCCTGTGGTCCAGCTACACTGCCCAAGTCACAGAAGGCAAAGAAGGGGCTGGGAGAATGAAGAACCACCTGCTGTAGGAGCAGATCAGGTTTGAGATCGTCTAATGAATTGAAGGTACACAAGTCCATGGGACCTGATGAGGTGCATCTGCAGGAACTGAGGGAACTGGTGGAGAACATGGATAGGTCGCTGTCCATCATATCTGAGAAGCTGTGGCATTCTGGTCAAGTTCCCACTGACTGGAAAAAGGGAAACATAGCCCCCATTTTTAAAAAGGGAATAAAGGAAGACGTTAGGAAGGGGTTCTTTACCTTTGGTATGGTAAAGTGCTGGCACAGGTTGCCCAGAGAAGTTGTGGCTGCCCTATTCCTGGAAGTGTTCAAGGACAGGGCTTGGAGCAACCTGGTCTGGTGGAAGATGCCCCTGCCCATGGCAGGGGATTGGAACTGGATGAGCTTTAGGGTCCCTTCCAATGCAAACCATTCTAGGATTCTATGGTTCTATGATTTATGCATTGGGATTGACTTGGAGTAAACTAATTTATTGCCCTTTCCTCAGTAGCTTCAATACTGAAGGGACTAGCTCACATGGGAGCCATTCCCGTAAGAGTGGTGTAATAGGATCAAGCTTTGTCTTTTGCTCCTTCCCTATCCTCCACCACTTGTTCCTATCATCCCACTACAAAAAATTTACTTGCTCTGGTCTGAAAGGAGCCCTGCTATTTCTGATCTGCTGTCTACAACAACTTGGGGTGCTGAGGAAAACTGAATCTTTGTGGAAGAACAAAACTGTGTCCTTTATGGAAAAATGCTGTGACTTTTGATTGAAGGGCTGTGGATTCAGATGAATTTTCCTAGCAAAGGGGAATAACTCTAATCTAAATATAAAAAGGAGTCTGTCACGGTGTAGGGTTAGCTGTCAGGCTCGAGACTGGTCTTGATGAAGTATAGTGCCAACAAGCCAATAATGAGCTAAAGCCCATGGTGAAGTTGCAACAAGCTGGCTTGGCTAAGTCAAGTCCAAATGCTGGCACTGCTGCTGGAGGCAGGACAAGCATAGTTGAAAGGAGCAGGATGTCCATCTTGATTTGCAAATAGAGTATCACAGTTCATATGCCTTGTGTGTGGGTGTGTGGCAGTGTGTGCTAACGCACATGCCTTGCCTTGGCTTTAAATGGTCTCTGACTATAAAAGTTAATAGCTTTGATGCAGAATTCCTAAAAGGAAGTGTTTGTCAATTTTGGTATAAGTGCAGTCTTAATTCAGTGTGTCAGATAAGAGAAAATCATGTTGGCTTATATTTATGATTTATTGCTTCTATCTTAGCACTAGAGATATTTGGAGAGCAAACTAACTCTTCTGTTTGCATTTTGCTTTGCTTTGTTTTTTATCCATCTAAGCCTTGCCACGCAAATCTGTAACACTTATATACCACTGTCAGATCTGCTGGGGAACAGGTGGGGAGATGCACCTGGAATGCACTGGGGTGGTAGTTTTGATAAGTCACAGCTTATGTGACATACTGGGAGGGCAGAGATTTGAAGATTGGCAAGATGTGTAGACAGGTTCATGATGGACAGCTGAGTTCCATGCTACTGCACAGGTCAAGGAGAGACACGCTACCACACCCAGGGGAGCACTGATACCTGCTATTTCATGTGGTCCTTGGGCATATTTGGGATTCTTGACCTGATTTGGAAAAAGGATGCGCCTGAACCCTCAAGTGACTAACAGAACCACAGAAAAGCAAAGAAACTTGTTTTCAATAAGAAGAGACCAGGATGCAATCTGTTCCAAGGTAAAGAGGACCAGATCATCTCAGGAATTTGGGTGCTTGGTGCCTTTGCTCAGGATCCTGCTCAAGATGCCTTTGGTGATGATACAAGTGAGGAGGTGTCTCTTAAACCTACACATTGGCTACCAACTCTGCAGCGGTACCAAAACAAACAGAAGAATTGGATGTACTGTCTTGGTACTTGGCTGGTATACCATATGGTCATGACCACTTCTCAAGATTGTTACATGCATGGGGCCAAAGTGGGTAGAACACATGGTGATTTAGAAATGTTTCTGTTAGGCTCTTGCTTTTATAGTAGTGCTGTGCAATAGAGAGAAGGAACAGTGGAGATAACATTGGCTTCCTCCACGTGGGATGCTCTCTCCTCTTTCCTTTCAGTCTTGGTAAGCGCACAGCAAAGATTTTCCACTTCTGTTTCAAAGGGAACCTCCACCCACCCCCAAGTACCAGTAACTATTTCCTCTTGTCTTCACAAACTGTTACGGGCTCAAACACCCTCCTTGCTCTCTTTGGGGGAAGAGGCACTTAATAGAGGGAGCAGTAAAGCTACACTGATTCTTGGGACTAACAGTAAAGGTACCCAGTTAAAGGACTTCGCAGGGGACCTCAGAATCCTGCGTGTCTTTTCTCGCGATCAAAGCGATTGTGAGAAACTGGTTTTCAATTCATTTCTTTTTTGCATATGGGAAAGAGGATGGCTTTGTACAATGGCTGTTTCAAAATACTTCAAAAGGACTTGAATCAGTCCATGGCTGCACTATATACAAATTAAAATAATTGATTTTTGGCAGCCTTTTAGGAGATCTATAAATTAAAGGGATAGCATTTCTGATACATTTTGGGGGACTTTATTTTATGTTGACTTTCAGAGTGCCCTCCCTCCCAGAGCTGGAAGTCAGCCACCACACCAGAGAGACCCTCTCGCTTTCATTTGGTCTGCCCTCCTGTCACAGGAGTCACTGAGGCTCCTTCAGGAGTGCCTGTGGTCACAGTGGGTCCTGCACCCATGCTAGCTCTGCACCCTTCCCTTTCCTTTCTGTTTTGAGGACTTTACATCGAGAAATAGAAACTACCCCAAACCCAACCAGAATCACCAATCTGGGGAGTTACTTTCTCTCCTTTTTCCTCCATCAGTAGAAACCGATACCCTCACCAGTCTGTGTTGCACCTGGGCTGTCCCCATTCTGTGCACTGATGGCAATAGGTTCAGCTCTGTCTGTGATGACCTAAAAATAGCACTCAATTAACATTGCATTTCAAGAATTGGAAAATTTCCCAGAAGTCCATTCTTTTTTCCTTCTCTGTTTCATTACATTTTACAGTAATAATACACAAGCCTGTAGAAAACATGATGGGTAATGAAAAAATGTAATTAATATAAGCAGTGTAAAGCATTTTTTTTTTCCTCTGTTGTCCTTGCAGAAAATTACTGCTTTAAACTGAGCAGGATGTGAAAATGCATAAAGCAAACAGTAATATGCTGTGGTTTGTAAATATCTTATGCAAAATAGTTAAGTCAACTGCTGTTTATTTTTCTTACTTTGTGTCACAGGCTCTTACTTTCTTTTGTTCATTACTTTTTTCCAATTGTTTTCTTTTGGGGGATTGCTCTCTTTCATCTTAAGAAAGCCATTGGCTTAACTATATTTTTTCTGCTACAGCTAATTCGATCAAACATACAGGACAGGCTGTTCTGCCTCTTCTTACCATGTCCTCCTGTTTGCTGGCTCTGAAATGCAACATACACTGCAAAAGCGTAGTAAGCCAGGACCTCACTATACTGTGGATCTCCTCTAACTGTTTTGGGCTTAAAAAAAAGCAAAGCACCCTTTTATCCTACAAACAAACAAGTAATTATCCCAAATCCTGCAATAGCTTTACGACAAACTGTAGCATTCCTATTACTGTAGGATTCTGCAGCGTTTATAAGTCTGCCTAGTTGTAGTTCTGGAATGGGCTGTGAGCAATACACAGTCAACATTAACTAGCATGGCATGGTATATGCCAGCTCTCCTTGGGATATTTCTCTCTGGCTATCTGTAGAATTTGTAACACCCAGCGATATCTGAAGGTCACAGCAGAGTTTCTGAGCTGAAATACAAAACAGCATTCCAAACACATCTTCTGTGGCCAGACAAGAAACTGCTTATGGTTTATTTTCCCTCCCCCCTCTCCACAGCTGACATCCAGCATTAGTTATTGTTTATTTTTGTCTTGTTCCTGGTTCTAAAGGTTTCCCTTGTGGCTCTGGTTTATGTGAACTTTCAGATACCAATCGGGGCTTCTCTGCCCCATCCCCTCTGATGTAGCTGGTTCCCCTGTGAAGGTAGGCTTCCCCAGCTGAAGATCTGTGCCTCTCTCCTGTGGCATTCTGTGCAGCCATTTGGAGTCCCAGATGTAGGAAATGAAATAATCCACGCTCATACAGTCATGAAAGTGCCCATCTGGCACACAGGAACATCACGCATTGGAAGCACACAAGCGTGAGCTCACTTTTGTTATGGCATTTCATAAACAGAGATGCAGCGAGCCAGCAAGTAAGGTCCTTCGGATAATAACAATCATTTCCACCGCACATTGTGTTTAAAAAATAGGGAAAGAGAAAATCAAGACAAACTGTGAAGATCTGCTCTGAGGCTTTTGAGCAGAAATTTCTATTTACAAATGTTTTCTTCCCAGTGGCCTTCTGTACTTACACCTCTCTGGCTCTCCTCCCATCTCTATGTAGATGTAAGACAATGGTGACAGTTGAAATGTAGCCAGTTAACTCTTAGATAGCTCTGAAAGCTCTTCTCCCTCACTGTTCAGTTAAAGAAAGGAAATATTAGATCATACTTACAAAAGTGAGTTCTATAAAAACAAATTGCATGTTACTGCTTTCTTATCACTACATAAAACTCACAGAAACAGTCTAATAAATGACCTCACCACTCAATTTCGAAGTATACAAATTAAAGACAGCAACAGATAAGCCAAGAGAGATTTATGTACAGTGTGCGCGCCTCTATGTGTGTGCTTGCATGCCTCTATGAGGATATACCCATATGCTGTTGACATTCAACCTCTGGAATTATAATTAGGGGGAAAGGCAGATGTGTAAATTCATCTTGCTGGGCAGCACATATATGTTGCACTAGTCCCTGATTAATTCAGGACTTGAGCACTCTTTACTCCAAGACACAAGGTTTCTGCTGGGATATGCTGGCTAATAAAGGGCTGGAATACGAGGAAACAATGAACAGCCCAAAATGATGGACTAAGCTCAATACTAGTAAGTAAAAAGCAAGGTTATTTATATTATTTTAGCTTTGCAAAGTAATTGAAAAAAGATACCCTAGGCTTTTTGCTGGATGTTACTGCATGCTCTAAAGACATCTTGAGATGTATTAAACTTCACAAAACCCTCACCATTAGAGCTTCTGACAGTGCTGAATCTTCAGCTGGACTACTCCTCAAAGGGGTGAGATTTTTAAGGTCAGGAAAGAGCAGAGAGAGGTGTCAGGTCTCCTGAACCAATGCTGACAAACCATGCCAGTTCCAAAACTGGGGCCTGGGCTGCCCATGGGCTGGGGCATGCCACTCCATGGTTTATGAACATTATAAATTATGGAAAATAGTAAAAGAGAACAGTCTCTGCATTTTACATGAGACATTTTTTTATTGTATTTGGCAAACAGTATATTTTAAATACTAAGTGCTAAGTTAGGAAAACAATGAGATGTTTGTAAATATGACAGACCATTACAATATACTGCTTCTCATTTGAAAAGTCATTTGTGCAAGAAATGATTATTGACCCATGATATGTAAATGATTGAAATGCAGAAATTAATATTTGGGTCAACTCATGTATTTTTCAACCATGAAATGAAAAGCTCAGTATTCCCATTCCAATTCATACATGAAAGCATTACAGCACTATTACTTGGCTATTGTATTAATTTATTATTGTCTTAGTTAATGACATACAGAATTATATCTCTACTTTCAAATGAGGAAAAGGTGTTACAGTAATGTTTCAGCCTGGGAACGCCCCTTATTCTGGACTCTCCTTGTACCTGTGACAATGAGCCAAATTCATGGCTGACAGAAGCAAATAAACAGCACTGCTTGCATTAAGGAGGTTTTGGCCCTAACATACCTTAAATGTTTCACAGGAAGGACTGGTTCCTGCATTGCAGCTCCTCTGTTCCCTCTGGGCTTGATTCTCATCTCCTTCATGCAAGTTTCACACTTGGAGTGTGATGCTTCTTAGTTACTGCAATTAATCCAGAAATATAAATCAGCACAGGATCAGCATATTTACTGCAGTGATGTAGTTTCTTTTAGTCTTTTATTCTAAGGGGTTTTGGTTCTAGACCTACAATACGGTTGCCTCTTGGATTATTATCCATTACATTTCAATTCCACTGGCTACCAGGCTTAGCTGGATTGAGTCTGATTTAAGGTCAAACATCCAAATAATTCATTAGTATCCTATAAATTGTGTGCTCCATCTTCATGGCTTTTTATGCAAAAGTAAACAATGCCTCAGTCTTTGTGCCACGGGGTACTCTATCACTTGATGGGTCTATCTCCTTAAGAGATGTATAATTTAAATACAAATAAATGTATGAGTGAAACCCATGTAGAATGATACTCATGATAGACAGAATAAATGGAGACGGGCAAAACAATTTAGATAATACCCAAAAGCAAAGCATCACAGCTAAATCAGGATTAACCCATGAAGCATGATGTGTTTCATGAAATGACTTTGGCATAGTCTAAAAACTACAGTGACTCAAATGACTTAAGCAGGGCAGTATTGCATCAAGGTTGCTCCAGTGCTCATACCTGTTAGGTACAAATGGGGTCATGTCTATGAAAATGGATGAGATTTATTTTTCTTTTTTTCAGTTGAAATAATATATAATTATATTTGCATATATCTTATAGATAAAACAATAAAAACATTTTGTATAAAACAATTTTATATTTTAGATACAATTTAAATGGCTTTGAATGACAATAGGCCCAGCTATACATGGCTTGCCAGATAAGGAAGTCCCAGCATAAGCACGTTTGGGTGCTGAAGTAAAAATGTGGTACCCCAGCACTCCATAAAATTATGATGGAGATAAAGCAGAGGCAGTGGTGGTATTCAGTGATACAGCCACTGCCCTCATAGTGTGATTTAGAAACTACCCACTCTGGCCAGCTGCATGGGAGGGGTGACATCCTCTTGGTCCTGCCCAACTAATCATCCTCTGCTTTTCTTAGCTGCTGGTCCAAAAGGCAGACCCAGATGACTAATTCTGGCAATGGAGGCCCTATGTGTCAACAAGACCTCCCCTTGATAGAGGCATGATTTGGTTTTAATTTTTTTATGGCCCATTCATTTATTTGAGGGCTAATGGCTGCCATGAATCATAGTGTTAGGAGGGAGACGCACAACTCATACTAGCACCTTACAGAAGGTGGCATGTCCACCAGGGATGGCAGGAGCAGGGGGTGCAGTTTCTTGATGCTTTGACCACATGGGAAGAGAAGGGTTGGCAGAACCTCCCCTCAAGGCCCAGTGCCTACCCCTTGCTCATTTGGAGGGTACCATCACAGCTCAGAGCACAGCCAAGGTGTAAGCAGTGCTTGCAATGGGGTCACCTGAGAGTCTCAAACAAGGTAATGATTACTGTGACCCCAACCAAGCACAGCCTTTGTTTAACTTGACTGGTATGAGTAAGCTAATTGGCGTCATTGGGCCTGTATGCATGCTTAAAAGTTATGGCTGTGTTAAAAGGCTTTGGTGGGTCAGGGAATAATGGGTGTTTAGCACCTTGTTGGACACAACCCTGGGAGCAAGCCTTGCAGTGACCTTCTGCAAAGGGTGTGCTCTGAGGGCCTGATTTTGCTCAGCATGTGGTTGCACTGCCCCATGCACTCCACAGCCACATAATGCTGGGGACTGTATAAATCATGAAACAACATGTTGTACCAGGGCAGCCAAAAACACCACCAAAATTAGCAGGAGCCAGGCCAGCTGACTCTATGAGAAGCTGAAGAGTTTCAAAATGGTTCTTAAATTTACCTCTAACCCTGAAACCAAAACTAATTGCAGAATGTAAAGCTCCCTCAGCATGTCAGGGAACTTGATGGGAATACCTCAGAAAAAAAACCCACAAACACTTTAGATAAAGCCCCCATTTTAATTGTATCAATTCTGCCAATTAATGATAATGGAAGAGCAGTCCAATTAGCTAAATAGCTAATAGTTTTATCAAGCAGAGGCTGGCAATTTAAAGCAAACAAATTCTTTCTAATTTTATCCCCTTGCACACCAAGATGTTTAAAGGATAATGGGGGATCCAATAAAGGATATTGCTCAAATAAAGCTACATTTAAATCGCCTAATGGCTTTAAGAGTTTTACCCCAATTAGCAAAGAAGAAACTTGAACATTCAGTGACTTTCTGCATAATATCTAAAAATCTTCATTAAAAATATAACATATTCTCCAACTAAGGGCAGAATGAAAAACATCACTGACTTTTCTCTTAAAAACACTGATTTCTCCCAAAACAAAGGTCTCTCTGTAACAGCAAAAGTATCAAGATAAAAAGGACTCTCCTGTCTAAGCCCAGTATATAAATCATCTTCAAACTATGGTCATTAGTTTTAATATAACTGTGGATTTGAATAAAGGAGATTGACCTATCTAACATATTTAAGACCAAATCCTACTGTTACCTAAATCTGAAATAAGTTAAGACTATTGAAGAGAATCAAAAGCCTTTTCAAAATCAATAGCCAGAACAAATTTCTCATGATCACAATTTTGAGGATAAAAAATCCATTAAAGTGATGTCTTTGATTGCTATTAATGAAGCAATCTGGAATAAATCCAGAGTGATCCATATGGATAATCGAATCTCTCATTTTCTCACATTTTACAGGGCTCAGATTTGGGGCCTCAATGGTATGACAGTGCTGGGCAAAAGGCTCCTTTTTCCCTTTGACACTGGGCTGCCCAGCCTGGGCAGCTGATGACACAGTCTCTAAAGGGAGTTAGAGGAGGAATGCACTCGATGTTCAGAGAAGGAAGAGCTCAAATAAATCAGCCTCCAGCCTCCACCACAAATCCCCAAATACTTTTCCTTCAGTGCAGGTCTTGTGGAGGTTACTGTGGGCTGCAAAACCCACCAAAGTGCTGCTACTTAACTGGCACAAACCTCCCTCTCTGGGGTGCCCCTGCATTGCCCTGAGGTGCTTGGCATGCTCACTGCCCTGCCAGGCTCAAGCAGAGGCAGAGCTGTCACCTATGGGGCAGAACTGGCCTCCAGGAGAACCCCAGGTAAAACCCCTGACAGGAACTGAACTGATTTTTCAGAGGAGGTAGCTGTTAAGATCCTGTTTTCCCACTTAAACAGTAAGAGATTGAGGCTTCTCTCTTACTGTTTTGAGATAATGTCATGAACCAGGAGGCAATGTGCTTCTTCAGTCCTGGAGCTGCGGCCAGGTCAACTCATTCTGGGGTGGGATGTGTGGTGGCCCTATTCCTCCCTGTGCCCCACCAATGCCACACCAGGAGCTTTACTGTTTTCCTTCTCTGCCATATTCTTTTTAGACAGGAGATTACAGCATCTCACCCCTCAGCACCAATTTTATGGCCTCCAGATACATCCTAACCAGTCTCTTCCTTCACCAGCAGTCCCACTGCTCCCTGTATGCCTTGCTGCAGCCAGGCCACCTCCATAGAATCATAGAATAGCTAGGGTTGGAAAGGACCTTAAAATCATCTAGTTCCCCCTGTCATGAGCCTGCCTTCCTCCCTCCTTTTGCCCAGGCATCTCCTCTTCTCCCACCTCGCTGTCACCTTCCTTGGAGCGTCAGTTTCTCCTTGCAAAGCTGACCACATCTATTCTGGTTCCCTTGGAATGCCTGAAAAATATGCCTCTCATCCTAGCAACAGAACTTGAAAACTGCATCAGAAAACCATTAGTGCTAGAAACGAATCCACAGTTTCCATTTGTGACTTTGCTTTTTTTGCTGCCTGTAACATCTCTCTAGGGTAGGTGCCCACCTCCTTCACCCTCCCCTAAAGACAGAGTTGCCTGTGGTCTGGAAACTGTCACATCCTGCAAAACACTCCTGGCCCCATGTCACAAGGCCAGGACATGGCCCCCAGTTTCTGAGCAATGCTGTTTCAGTCAGAATTCAATAAAGTACTTGTATTATATGAACCTGGTAGGAATCAATTTTTATTTGAAACCAAATTTTAGGTTTCAAGCAAGAACAAAAAGTCAGACAGCAGAAGTCAGACAGGAGGTCAATGCGCTTTGCACGGGCACCACACCAGGTTAGAATGACTCTGAACTTTCACCTTTATGATCACCCTAAATTATCTTTGAGCCAAATTTGATTTCACAGGTGCAGCAGCTCCTTTTCCTCCTAATCTGACTGCACACCGAAGGCAAAAGCTGAGGGGTTTGGTCGGTTTACATACATTTTTATCCAAAGCAGATTCAGGAAGGTGTTTAAAAGGCTGATCTATATGTAAAGAATATGCTACTAACAGAACCATATGCCTCTCCAACAGCTGAAATTATATGTAAAAGCTTTCACTCCAACTTCACAACCAACTTATAGTATCCCAGTGCTCCCGCCCTGCAACACTTTCACACATATAGTTGCCAGTAAAACCTATGCAACTCCGAGCTGGTTTCTGCTACAAGCGCTGCTTCTATCATCAGCCAACTCAATGGATCCATGTCTCAGAGGTGCCTCTTTCCAGAAGGGTATCCTTGGTGACCAGGGTCAATATAAACTGCTACTTTTCCATATGACAGTGCAATTAGGACAGAAGCTGTCTCTACCCTTACCAAAACCTATGTAAATATAAAAAACGAAGACCAAGCACACTAGGATGAACAAAAAAACAACTGTCCCAACACTATTAATTACCAGTAGTGAATGTTAAGAAGTGGAAGTATAAGAACAAAGGTCAAAGGCTGCAGTTTCACTGCTGTAATGTACCCTCCCAGCAATCTGTGTGTCTTAAGCAATCTTGTCCAGACCTGTTGGTAGCTGGTGGGGTTTCTAAAATCTTCAAGCTAGACTGGAGGCCAGTTGTTAACAATTCCCGAGAATGCATAGAGATTGCTGCTGTCATTATAGAGTACAAAGAAACTTCTTCCTACTTTTCAGAGGTCTGAAATGATCCTTGCACTCACCTAAATGGATCACGTTTGTTCTTTGCCCACAGCACTGAACAGCTTTCGTCAAATCCTTTAATGGGCTTGAATCTGAGAGGTAAAAGCAACTGCTTTACCATGAGCTTTCTGGAACTTGTGCAAACACAGTAGATCTGAAAACACCTATGAAATGGTAAGAGGATTGTTAGGTAAATTAGGAGAATTCAAGGAACCTGAACCAGCTTTAGCAACATTAACATTCTCTGCTGGTGATGAGAGAGTGTAAGTATTCACTATCAACATCTTCCCCTGCAGATGGGTGTTTCTAAGAGCAAAAGTGCTCAGCCTTGGCATTTGTAGGATGGTTTGGAGAATGTAGAGCAGGTTCCAGGAAGCTTGCCAGTTCCAGTACAGCCCAGCCAGGTGACAATCTACAATGACCACAGAGCAGCTCCAACATAAACTAGACATCTCAGCTAATGTTAAGGAGTATCCTTAGATAATTATTTGGCTGATTCAGTAAAGAAACTTGTCCTGGAAAGTGAAGTGTTTTCACGTGTAGGCCAGTGCCTAAGATGGAAGGAGCAGGGAATAGTGGACAGGTATAGAAGCATTCGAAGTGGAGGCGATTCAGCCTGCTGAGCTTGCCTGTCATGGCCCTGATGTAGAAGAACTCTTCCACCATGAAGTAAACTTATCAAGAGAATTTCTTTGCAGCCAACCAGGGTAAAAGAAGGGATAGATGAAGTTTTCTTCCCAATGTTATTAAGAGTCTCTACTGATAACACTAATGGGCAACACAGCAGATCACAGTCACAGCATTTCCTTTAAGCACCTCTGTCACTAGTAAGCTCAGGGACACAGACTGAAAAATACAAATGCAGTTATGAATTCCATTAGGATTTCTGAAACCAAAGGAAAATTACCACCAGAGGAAAATGAATTCTGCTCCTAGTTACCATGATGCAATTCTAGGAAAGCTGACAAGAGTGCTACTAACTCAAGCTCTTCACTTGTGCTTCTGGTGTGGCGGTGGAGCTCACTCAAGAGCTTTGAGGGCTCTGTGGGCTGGGGGGAGGACAATTTATTTTTCAAGTTCTTCAAGTATTCTGGCACAATGACGAGAAAGAAGAAACATTTCAGTGAATGAGGAGTTTTTTGCTTCTATAGTGTTTTCCTTGAGAAGTGGGTCTTTGAATGAGGATGACAATGGAAGAGATGAAGAATGAAGCAGAGACCACTTCTATGGTTTCCATGCCTCTCTATGCTGTTATGTACCCTGTCTTTAATGAGCTAGAAGGAGTAAATCTATCTGCAGCTCAGACACTGAGAGCAGCTTTTATTAAGGCTGAAAAAGAAAATCCAGGTCTTACACAAGACATCATTATGAAAATCTTGGAGAAAAAAAGTGTGGATGTGAACTTCACAGAGTCTCTTCTGCGTATAGCAGCTGATGATGTAGAAGAGTATATGACTGAAAGACCAGAAACAGAATTCCAAGATCTTAATGAAAAGGCACAAGCACTTAAACAGATTCTTAGTCAGATTCCTGATGAGATCAATTTTTTTTTTTTAGATTGGATATAAGGAGGAAATTCTTTCCTGTTAGGGTGGTGAGGCACTGGAATAGGTTGCCCAGGGAGGTTGTGAATGCTCCATCCCTGGCAGTGTTCAAGAACAGGTTGGACGAGGCCTTGGGTGATATGATTTAGCGTAAGGTGTCCCTGCCCATGGCAGGGGGGTTGGAACTAGAGGATCTTAAGGTCCTTTCCAACCCTAACTATTCTATGATTCTAAGTATGGGAAGAACCTGTTCTCAGCTCCTGGAATGCATGCTAGGCTGTGCTGAACAGATGTAACTATCTCACTACACTGAATAAGAGCGAGAGAGAGAGAGAGTGAGAGCGAGCTTTTATGATGTTCTACCCATTAAAAAGAAACCCATATATACAGCTTACTGTTATAAATAAACATGTTACCTGAAAACAGTCGCATACATTCATTTGCATAGGATTTGGTATACATCTGTGCTCTTCAGTAGTTTATTCCAAACCCTAAGTATTTTATATAATTAATGTCAATATGCTTGGCTTACATGTTATAAAAGAAAAGCATTTCTAATTAGCCTTTTTGGTGTGTAAAACTTCAGTATTTCTCCCTAGTGTTTTCTAAATCAGGTTACCTTTTTTCTACACTCCTGCACAGAGAGAGTGTGTGAGGCTTATGCACCACTTAAGTCTTAGTCTGAAGATAGCTGAAATTGCATTTGCACGATAACTGGGCCTTGAGCTCGCCCTCAACATGGGGTGAGGTTCCCCTACTATGAGCAATGTCAGAAGTCCATGCTATAAACTTGCCTTGTGACAAGTGAAACATTCCAATTTCCTGTTAAATTCAACTAACACTTTTCATATTGCCATTTATTACAGTGACACAATACAATCTACTTTTCAATCAAAGCAAAACCTACTTGCCTTCACTGAACCTCTGGATAGTCTTTGGGAGGCACAAAACCATCAAAGCAGTGACATTCAGAGGCTTATCACAACACACCAGGGACACAAGTAAATCTCAAGCAGTAAAACAGCTCCAACCGTGGTGAGCTGCCTGGATGTAGCAATAAAGAAGGTCAAGGTGAGCACTTTGTTGTACCAATCGGCCCTGCAGAAAAGCCAGATAAATTGGCAAGTTTTTGCCAAGCCAAAGGATAGGTCCTATCAGCAGTAACAGTGGAAAGTTGAGCATTCAGACTTCCATTTCTTACCACTTACCCCTCTTTTCCTTGGAAGAAACTCAGCACTCAATTTACACTTAAGTAAAACCATGGTACAAGACTGACCAGATGCCTGTTGAAAGCAACAGCAATATTTTCCTTTTACTTTGGGTCTTGGATTAAGCTCTAAATGAGATCAGAGCTAGATCTGATTTGTGGAGGCATACAGGAAGAAGAAATTGTGCTTCTCTATTAAACTGGACAAGCGAAGTGCTTTATTGAGTGCTGAAATAAGATGTGAGATTTCATGACAAGCTCAGGTTGTTTTTGTTTCCCATGCAGCTCTCATTTAACACAAAGAAGCTTATTTTCCATGTCATGGGGCCCTTGATCCTGCTCAATAAATACAGTATCTTCCCTGGAAGCATGAAGGCCCTGCTTTATAGGCTTGGCAATAGAGTATACATCAGCCTTGCTGGTTAATTCAAACAAGAATAGCAAATTCCTAAAACTTTGGCCAAATTACCATCTTTCTGGCTGCTTCAATGAGCTAATATTGTTGTGGAAACCTGGAAGCAGTCATCAAGTCTTTGATGATTTATTTAGTAGGAGTCATCTAGTAGCTAATTGTCCGCAGTTTCTAACCTCATTTCTGAGCACTGCTGATTCTTCCTTCAGCATTTGCAGTTTTCTCCTTAAGCTTTCTTACATCTCTGTATGTAACATTTCCAGACAGGAGTTCAACTTTATCACAAATATGTTTATTAACTTGCCAAACCACATCCAAGATCTTCAGACTCAAAAGTCAAAGATAAAATCATCCTCAGAGGGCACCTCACCCTTCTCCACCCAGGCACATGAAAAAAACCCAGCTTTAGGCTCTAACATTTTACATTTATAATGAGTCACAGCCTAGGTTTATTGGTTTTCGGTTTTTGTTTGGTGTTGGAATTTTTACCTTTCCATTCTTCTCCTGGATTTTTCACCTTGGATCCATACCAAAAGAGAGAAAATACTGGTGAGCCATGTAAAAGAACGATCCACCTTTTTTGTCTGTACTGCAAATCTTACCATGGCTGTAGGGCTGGCCCCAGTGAAGGTCTTCGCAGAGATTTAGAGTTAACTAAAATGCTCAAGACATTTGATAGCTGTAACCTAGATGTTCCTGGGTAAGTTCAAAGAAGAATCGGATTCACTCTTGCGGCTCTGTTTCCACCAGGTTTAAGGATGGTCCTGATGCCTGTTAAGTGGTAAAAATGTAACAGTTCTGGTTAATCTCATGTGATTCTTCACGAGACAGAAAGTTCTTCCTGTTAATTTTCTGCATTCAGTTTTTCTGATGCATGACTCTGCAATTGTCACATGTCTGTTTTGGGGTGGCTTCTTGCCACGAATGGATGAAGGGCTCTTTATGCCTGGTTTCTGACTCCTATTTGTATGTTCATGAAGAAGCCTGGGTCCCTTGGGAGACAGATGACTCTCTATTTGGGCAACATTATCCCCACCAACTACTATGATCTGAGCCTGTGGGAAGATACTTTTTAAAGAAAAAGTTTGATTTTGCTAATGTAGCCATTGTTTAAATGTCAAATACAATTAGAGTACCCACCCAGAGTGCATGTTGTGTAATTTCATAATACTCCGTCTAGATGAGTGTTGGCTTTCTACCTGCATGCTTCACCACACCCAAGAATGCTGGTATTACACAATTACACACATCCTGTTGACTAATTACATAATAATTAGTGGTTTTAATATTCAAAGATGCACTCACATCGGTGATGCAAGATTTTATGTCACTGCAAACTGAATCCAAAACATAACAAATATACGAACAATGCTGTTCATACAGCTTACTAAGCACGGACTTAACTTCCAGCAGACAGCACAGAGTACTTCGCACATTTTACACACATTTGGCAGAGCCTCTCTCCCCCACAGTTACTCTGGGTTCCACCTGCTTTATAAAGCTGTTCAAGTAATTCTGTATTCAAGTTAGAATTTCTGCCTACTTCTGAGTTATGATCGCTTATCATGACTAGAGTTAATATTTGGCGGAAAAAGCACTGTGACATGCCTGAGGAAGGAAGATTGCTCCTCACAATGGCAATTCTGGAAGGAATCTGGAATATGCAATTTAAAGTGAGCAATTACCTAAAAAAATATCCCAAATACTGGTGTTTCAAAGTGTACTGATGAGCCTAAGCCCCTTGGATTTGGAACAGATTTTCCACAAGTTCAGTTGGAGTGTCTTGATCGTGATCTGGGCTCTTGGTTCTCACAATAGACATGAGAGGCCAGATGCAAAGTCTTGCTCACCATTTGGATGTGGAGTCTTTAAGATCACACACTTCTTGTTGCAACCATGTCTTACTTCTAAACTTGTTCATTTGAATTTAGTCACAATCCACAGAAGGTGGCACAGAGGCCAAGCCCTGAATCTTGCCCAGGGCATAGTTTTATGCTGCTGCGTACCAAGTGGATCATACATGATGCTTCAATAGTGTTTCTGACCTGCTACTGTTAGTTTCTCTGGAATCCCCAGCTGTGCGTATAGCCCTTTACGATGGAAAAGATGGACTGTGTCCTCACCTCCAGCCATGTGTTTGCTGGGCAACAGCAAAGAGCAACAAACATTTTGCACATAACTTCATTGCTTTGTTTTCTTCTTCATGAATTTGATTTTTAACTTTTCAGGCACTGTGGCAGCAAATGATTTTTCAAGGCCATAAAGGAAGAACAAATCACTGCCCAGGAGTTTCTTACTGCACTGTTTCTCTTTTCATGGCACAAGAGGTTATAGTGCAAGACCACCTTTTTCACTGAAGGGTAACTTTCTGCTGCCCTGATAAATTAAAAATTGGCATTTCAATCTAAACATTTGCCCCTGACAGGTTCTTAGTGAACCAATACCTCTATGAAAGCAAATCCAGGCTGTTTGGAAGGAGCAGGATGCGAGACTGCTGAAGTAAACATTACTGTTCAGGTTCAGGGACACATGCAAGGTAGCTTCACAACTCCCCAAAACCTCAGCAATCCCCTTTTCCTACCCCAAACACCAGCAGTAAAGTCAGCACAGTAGTGCACTTCTCTGCATCAGGAAGACACTTAAAGAGAGGCCAGGGTTTTGAATTTGCAATGGGGGTTTCTGTTACTTCTAAGGGCTCTTATTTTCACTGCTTTCTTACCTGGTGTGCTTCTCCCATGACTGGCAGAGAAGCAATTTCTGAGGGACAGGGGATCCATCCTTGTGGGTATACCTTGTGTGCACACAGCAACCTGATTTCACATTGAGGACCAGTGTTTCTTCTGAAAGCAGGTGCTTGAGAAGCTGTTCTTCAAACATGAAGCTCCAGTTGACATGATAAATCCCTCTTTTCCCTTCTTTCCTAAAGGAAAACAAAGCCACAATGAACTTGGGCACTTTGCTATGTCCCCCCAGCAGAAATGTTATGGCTCATTTGCATATATGATGAACAGTATTTCATTACTGAAAATAATCTGTACCAAAAAACTGCACCTGGCCAACAGCACAGGAGCAGCTTGCATCCTGATGTGATTTTAAATGGCTGAGATATTAAACCACTGAAAAACGGGGTTTATAATGGAAATACTGACAGACTATTAACTATAGCGGTGCTGCTCTAATAAATGAAATAGCCTGTCATAATCTCTAATTCATAAATATGCAAATACAAGGCAGAGGATTTGCTCCAAAGGATGTCTCTATAATTTTAACTGACCTTTACTGATACTAAATGAGCCTGTTGCTTCTGGTTTTGAGCATTAAACAGAAAGTACAAGGAATTCTGCCTCTGCATTCAAGGCCCACTCCAGCTCCCATAAGCACCCACGGCAAAACCCTCTCTCTCTTCCATAGAAAAACTCTGGTCCCAGAACCCCCCAAATGTGAGATGCCTGGCATTAAACTGAACTCTAGACTGTACTTGATTTCATTCTGTTCTCATCTGTGTTAATTATTATTACATTAATTCTTCTGTTTGGGAGAAATTAAGCACACATTTGCCCCATGTGTCAAAGAGCCTGACCTGCCAAAAAGCACTCACTTGTTCAGTGATAAACAGACCATCAACACACTGATATAAAAGTTGAATTTCAGCCAGTTTCCTGTTCTGGACCAAATGGAGGTAAATCCACCGACTTAATATTTAATAACCTAAATGTAATTTCTTTTTTGTGCCTCATATTGCACAGTAAAGAACTGGATGGCTAGCAGTTTTGCAGATTCCCAACCCCTAATTATTTTAAGCTATTCATCCTGGTATCTGTCCATTGATGCTCAGCCAAATTGCCAGCAGGGGAGAGATCTGTCCAATCCAGGAGCTAAATGAGTCACTGAGAGTCAATCTGTTTTTTCCCCTTGCTGCTGGGATTTCCTTGGGTCCTGGCCTCTCTCTGCTCCAATCACACACACACAGCTCCAGGCGTGGGTCCTCTTTGGCTTCAGCTGCCTCCTGTCTCCCCATGTCTGCTCTGCTCATCACAGCTGTTGATGGGTTTTCTCTGGCTGGCCACAGAAGACCAATACTTCCATCACACTGCTCCTACAGCTCTTGCTCTGAAGGAAAATGAAGACATCTTGGCCTTGTTGAATTTGCTGCTGAAGTAATACGTCAGGTATCTAGATGGGAAGCAAACCACATGAATAAAATGTGTCATCTGGGTTAGATACTAATTTATTTGCCTTAAGTTCTCTGGGAACAATATTTGCACTTTTTCCAGAGAACTCGTCTAAGTTCCATAGAAACCAAATACTAGTTTGACTTCTGCAGCATGGAAAACAAATATGAAACAGAGAAAAAATAGACTCATCAGAAATATTAGCTTCTCAGTATTAAAATGTCTGACAATGCCACAAATACAATCTATAAACAGGAACATTTAGAGCCTAACTATTCACTAAAAAGCAAATTCCTTGCTTCTTCCCTTTTAGGGTCAGGATTCAATTACACAAAAATATGCAGACTTAAGGACTACATGTAAGATTAAGATAACTGGTATTTCATGGTAAATGATTAAATTAGCTGACACAGTTTTATCCTGAACTTTGCCATTAAAAGTGACATTTTTGTGCCACGCACACTGTAGGCTGCTGGTAATCTAAACTGCCTTTCTTCTTTCAAAGACTTTAAATAGCTGAAGAACTCTTGTTCTTTACTCTATTTGCAAATGTGTGGAGAATATATCCACATCGTAACAAGAGGAACTAAGCACAGGGCTTTTTTTCCCCCTCTTTTTCCCTGTTATACAAATACCTTAAGAAAACAGCATGGAAATTCCAAGTGCCCAGATTCAGCTCTGCAACATGCCCTGTAATCAAGTCATTTATGTGACCCCATAGAGATGAGACATGCTGTCCTCCTCATGGTGAGTAAAAACAGAGAAATGACAGAGGCCTTTCACTAAAAGTTTAATTATTCCTAGTATACAATTGTAAACCACTCTATGTTTTATTCCTCTTTGCTTTCAGGCTTGCTTTTTTATGATGGAAGGGAGTTATGGGAATAATTTTGACAGAGAACAGAATGAGGACTGGAGGGCTGAAATGTCAGAGCTGGTGGTTGTAGTCACCACCTTTCAGTTAAGCTAGCTGGGAAGGATCAACTCAGCTCCTCTGTGAAGCTCCTCGTCCTTCAAAGCAAAGTGCTGCACGTCACTGCACAGAGCAAGGCAAGGCCTGTCTGATGAGACACCCGAACTATGAGAGAAGCTTATCTTCTAAGTACTGCACTAAAAGACCACCAGAGCTGGGTGGGAAGAAAAGCCACAGAAGCACTGCAGGAATGAAGAAAGGTGGCATGACACGCAGGCAGTGCATCCCTGGGAGAGGCCACGGAATAGACTCTGGCTGGAAAAGGTCACACAGGCAATGGGAGATAAAATTCTTCAATTCTTCTTGTGGTTTGACTTGTGCTGTGGTCAGAAAAATGGATCTTTGTCCATAAAGTTCAAAAGAAGTAGCTCTAACAATACAAAAACACATGGACCACAATACTGGTCCAGAACAGTGGTCCAGCATGTCCAGTCTTTCCTTATGCAAGATTTCTCATTTGAAAATGATGCAATAGAAATTACAATTATTATAATAGAATAATCTATGTGAATCACAGAATGGTTGGGACACTTAATTCTCCACTCTCAGGCTCTGAAAGTTGGAGCTTCATGAAGAAGTCATGCATGCATTATATCATACTTCTTTCTGGGCAATGGCTCAAAGGTAAAAAAAGTCTCCAAACACTGACTACACAATTTGGAGGGGTAAAGATAAGTCTCTATACTTCAGCTTTTAGTAACCAAGGGCTCTGCTGAAACAGGAAGCTCTACAGACACCAAAGAAATTGGGCGTTTATTCCAGCAGAGAATTTGACCCTTTATTCTTAGTGCAGACTTATCAGAGGTGTGCGCATAACAGGAATGCTATGGCAAAGTTTCTGGATTCCTTGTTAACCATAAAGAGTTGAGCAAGACTTTGGACTCTTTCTCACATCTTGGATCTTCTATCAGTTCTAATAAAGAAGAAGAAACACAGCTTTTCTCACAGCACCTTCCCCATGAGTTAAAGACTGCAGTTATACCATATTCACACAGTCACACCACTATCATAAAAGGATGCCTTTCAGTGGAAAGAGTTTCATTGTTCAAGAACTTGTGCAAATGCTGAACAATGAAACTCAATCTGATTATCAGAAAATCAAACCTGACCACCTCACAAACTGTGTTATTCAATTAAAACTTCTCAGCTCTCCTACATCATTTCTTGGCTTTTACACATTGTGCAAAAGACAGAGCTACTTTTATATCTCTTTGTACATTTTAAACTTTGAAAACCTTTCAGAGCAGAGGTTATATGAATCATAGCTTTTCCAATTCCAAAATGTTTCACTGATCATTCATTATTAACTGAGTAAAATGAAGATAGCTGTGATAAATTTTGATCTCTCTCAAAGTAGCAGAAAGGATATGAAAACATCTTGCTCACAGTACTAACTTTTAGATGACATATGAGGGTACAACCCCGTTTTTTTTCCACTGTCACATACAACAAGGCTCTTAATAACCCAATCACTTGTTATTACATTATTCCCCTTCCTAGGAACTATTTCAGCCCGGTCTGCCATTTAGCAGAAATGGATTCAAACAACATAACCATGATAGGACTGGTTGCTGGTGACAGGAAGCCTGTCCATGTCAGAGATTAGGAGCCTAACTAATGTCTAGGGTTTTTCCTAGTTCATGTATGTTCTCTAAACATACATACATACATGTCTTGATTTGAATGCTTTGGGAAGAGAATAAGAAGTCTGTGACTGCTCTTAGATCTGGGAGTGATGTTTTCCAACACATCTCAGTAACTGGTGCTCTTTTACTAAATATACTGCAGTATTTAGTGTACTAACTGTACACAAAACCTGAAAATACCAGGAGAAAACAGTCCTTTTCAGGCAGCTCAACACAGGAACGAAACACAACCCAGAGAGGAACCATACTAACCCAGGAATAAAGATGGAACTGGCTCATTTCAGTGAGTCAAGATCCTGGATACATCTTGCTCCTCGTCCTTCGGCTGTCCAGAGAGATGGACTACACTGAAGTTAGAGGGGCTGTTTGAGATGCACTCCACAACTATTTGTTGTGAAAAGCCATTATACTATTTTACTCATTTAAACTGCTTTCAGTCTCACCGTAGTCCCTCCCAGCTTGGCTTCTCCAGGGTCAGGCCTATGTGTAAGGGAAGCAGATGGGGACAGGAGCTGTGCAAAGCTGGTCATGGGCTTAAGAAAGGCTTGATTCTGTACCAATAAAATCAAGGGGAGTATGGCTCCTGTTTGCAATGGGAGGTGGATCAACGCTTTACGCCAGCTGTTCCCTGCTGGGTAGGGATAATCCCTTTGAAACAAAATATTTAACTTGTTCTCACTCTGTTGTTGTAAGAAGGCTTCCCATGATAATGCTTTCATGAGAATCAATAGGTGTGTCCCATTTTTGCTTCCAAATACCTCTGTTCCTGTAGGATGTACTTGCTCATCCTAAATTTAACACAAAAACTCCCAACAAACCCAAACAAAAAGGGTTTCCCAAAGAGAGGATTCTGCTATTAACCATGTGGGTTTACAGAAAACACCACAGCAATGAGTTACAGGGTGGATCATCTGCTCATTCTGCTGGCCATGACAGGACCTCTTGCCGTTTCCTCAGCAAGAAGATGCAATAAAGGGGCAGGTTTATTCAAACAGCTATAACTGAGGTGGGATCCCATGGTCAGAAATAAAAAGCTGAGGTCTCAGCAGGCAAATAAGATGATAGAAAACATAACTTGTCAACAGTCATGAAGGGAGTAATGAAGAACAGAGCGTGGGAACAGCATTAGAAAGACAGGAGCTATGGGAGGACAGGATTAACAGTAAGATATGTGTCCTGCAGTCTGGATCCAAGCATAGCATTTAGTCTCACTTGCTGTTCCTGTGTTTTGGTTTTATGTTTTGTAGGGTAAATGAGGTTCTGAAAGATAGCTGAAGCTGCCCAGGATGCTCTACAGGTCAGCAGCACACTGTGGCTACTTCTAGTCCCTGCAAGTTAGGTTCAAAACCAGTCAAGTTCAAAACCAGTGTGAAAGTTGGGCCCGTTTACAGCAGCTTTCAGTCCAGTTCACTCCCTCTTGCCCCTCTGGCTGAGCTCCATTTGGCTAACAGACCTGGAACATAAAGTCTGCTCAGTTTTATAAAGCTATTATTTAATTTAAAAAGTCTCTTCCATTGCATTCTAATGAGATTTCCATAAAATACTGAGTCCTTCACATCCTCTTGGGAAATTCTGTTTACTCCATAAACAAGGATACTTTTGAAAAGCTCTAGAAGACTTCAAGGGAGGAAACTTCCAGAGACGTTGCTGCTTGGTCTAGCAGCCGGGAAGTGAGCTTTCTATAGAGTTACATCCCCCAGAAGCAGGAACGTATGGAATCGTTTGAGCTTAAGAGGCTGTGTCATCTTTATAGAAGGGAAGGAGAGACTGAGAGATGCAGTGACAGAGCCGGGAGCTGCATCTGGCTGGCTGTTCCACGGAGCATTCTCCTTATAGATTTTTATGGTTCTTTTAGCCCTAATATTAAACATTTGACCTTTTTGTCAAACACTATTTTGGATTTTTAGGTTGGATGATTAGTTACTAAACATACCATCTGTAGTAAACAGGAAACTGTAGTCTGATGCTTCAGTTTCAGACCTTTCAGGTATTGCTCCCTTGGCATTTCACATTAGAATGCTGAGCTCTCCTATAAGTCACTTGGTAAGCAAGAAGTGCACAGCATTTTCACACAAGGCACAGGGATTCCTGAGGTAGCACTACTGAGAACAGGGATTTCTCCTTTCCCTTGCCCTGCTAAACTGGTAGCTTTAAGGAGAATGCTGTAAGCATTATAAAGCCAAGTGTAAGCAGGAGCCAGCTCCTGCCAAACAATACAACTTAGTTTACTGCCTACAAATAAGTGCATTTACCTTTTAAAGTTCTGTAAAGCAGCATTTTGCAAATGACTGCCCTGTGCCTCTGTCCCCAGTGAACTCTTCCATTCATACTTTCCCCTCCTTTCCCCTGTAAGCAGAGTACAGTGTTGGAAGCAGAATTAAT